AAAAAAATTAATTAAAGATATAATCAAAGCAATTGCTATAATTGGATACTTGGAAATTTTTACTTAAACAATGAGCTGGCTGGATTTAGAACCACAGAATATCACCACGTGAAGTATATAAAAGAAATTGGTTGAATTAGTATTATGTCTTACGTACTTTGTATCTCTGCAATACTAATTTTGAAAAGGTCAGTTTATTTTTCTGCAAGGGAATTATTTGCCATGTCGTCCACAAAATGACATGAGATGTGAAAGGAATATATATGATAATTTTTTAAGAGGATATGGAAAACGTCACTATTCCATAAAATCCATCCAATTCAAAAGCATTATCTTATTAATGATGTGTGTGGGACCTAATTACGTGATATAGTAAAATTTAATATTTATGTGGACAAAGTATAATGACATGGTTTATCAAGATGTCAATATGGACTTAAATTGTTTGAACTTAAACTATTTCTCTGCCTTTTTAAATTGGGGCTACAGTTTTTATATGGGTCGTCGTCATCATCTTCTTTTTCATTGTCATGTCTTGTAACTATTTTTTTTTTTAAACAGTAATTGGTATATTTTTAATTTAATATTTTTAATAATATTTTTTAGTTTAATTATTAAAAAATTATTATTTTTTAATTTAAAATTAAAAATAAATAAATTTAATAATATAATTATTCACACAATATAAAAATTGATTGAATTAATTATATTGATTATATTTATATTATATTATTAATAATTAAATCAAAAAATATTATTAAGAGTATTAAACCGAAAACTGTACCAATCATTCTCCTAAAAAAACTTTAAATCGAGACCTAGCCTCCTTCCTTCCCCGTTCGGCAACTTTCCTCTTCTGTTCCATTCTCTAGGTAGCTCTGTTATTGATGCACCCATCGATGATCACCCAGAGAGAGGAAGTGATCTTATTTTAGTCAATTAAATCATGGGGGCTAATAAAATAATTTGATTGATTATGATAATTTTCTCACTCTTTATCTCTCCTCCGCTCAAAGTAAGTGTTAAAGTTCAAATTTAAGATGTCTAATTGTGAATTGAAATTTTAAATTTTCACCTTGGGACTCTTATAGCAACATGCCTCTGTCATAATTTTTATTCCTTCACCTTAAAATAATTATCATTTTTTTATTTAAAATGCATCAAATAAATTGTCATTTTGTCACATTTTAAAGAAACAAATATTTTTTTAATTATTTTAATCTTATTATTATCTTTTTACTTAATTATCCATCCTATAAAAAAATTTTAAAACTTTATAAGTAAAAAATATAAATTATTCTCAAATCTGTGGTTGAAAAAAAACAGTCAAAAATGAAAGTTATTTTGTGATAAAGGATTAATTAATTGGGAGAATTCTGTTTGGACCAGAAACGGTCCAAAGACTTTCGTTTGGAAGTTCAGAAAAGGAAAAGAATCCAAAGATGTTAAATAATGGGCCGGAGACCTGGAAAAGATATTATCCTTACCTCCTTCCTTTTGGGATGTCTATTTAGCCATAGCAAAGCCCAACATCCTTTGTATTGGGGTTGGTATTAGTGTCTAACGACAATTTTTTTTTTTTAATTTTTTTGAAAATAGGTACCAATGACAACTTAAAGCTTGAATGTATTCTTGTTATTGCAAAATATTTTTATACCCCATCTTGATTTAGATTTCAAGTCTAAGTGAAGTTTATATTATGAAATAAGTCTGAAGCAACTTAGGAATGATAAGGAATGAGAATTTTTTTTATCAATAAAATAAAATTTTATTGTTTGGGGTAGAAAAGATACTCTAATCCATTCGCAAATACATTCTTTCAAAACTAAAACAATACAAACAAGAAAAATAATCCAGAAGCATCACACAAACAACCGGTCCTTTCATAACATTTTCTGTTGCCTAAGGAATGAGAAGAAATGAGAATAATTATGTTTTATCATATGGTGCATTATCAGATTTTTTTAATAGAAGAAAGGCGTACTTAAATGATAGGAGTAGAATTCAAACTTTAAGGGATGACACTGTGACAACAAGAAATACTAAGTACTATACTTTTTCTACGACCTTTAAAATTCGGGTTCAAAAAGTCGATGTAGTTTACCATCAACAAAGAATTTACTGCAAAATTTGAGGGAGAAATACATCTTAGGCCATACAATTAGCATGCTTGAATTCCTTTTGTTTTTTCCTTTATATCAACGAAGGGTGTGAAATATTTTATTAAAATGAAGTGTTACATGAATATGATGAGGAGGACAATAATATCATACACAGAAAGGAATAAAAAGTAAGCATAAAGCACCTATGTGAAGCAACTAAGGCTTTGTTTATATATCAGTATTTTATACAAATATTTTTCATACAATATTTTATTTAAAAATATAAATTCATAATTTTTAATTAATTTTAATTAATTTTTTAATATACTTTTAATAATTTTGATTAATATTTATATATTTTAAAAAAAAAAACCCAAAGTTACGACATATTACAGGAAGAAACTAACAAACAAAGCTCAATGCCAAATTGAAGTCATTTAATTACGTACAGCCAACACAAATTTCCGTTATAAAGAAAATATATAGAACAAATGTTGACAAGTAAAAATAAATTTTCCCTGCAGCTAACAAGACTGCCAAATTCGTGGGAAAATAATAAATAATTTTAACACAGATGATTTGAAACCTTGAAGATGATTCAAAGACAGTCTTAACACGGTGGCATATCAGATGGTGGCGGTAATAATTTCTCCTCCGTCGATGTGCCATTCTTGACTATGAATGCTGTGTCCATGCCCCATTCCGCATGTCGGTCAAAATGGCAATGCATAAGCCACACTCCTATTTGAGAAAAAGAAAAAAAAAATAGTCGTTAGGGAAAAGATTAATGTGTGACATATATAAAAAATATATATATATTAGCATAACGTACCTGGATTGTTAGCTTTAAATCTAATGGTGGTCCAGCCCTGTACAGGGACAGAAACTGTGTTTTGGGAAGGTGGGTCTACAAGATTATAGGTTGAGGGATCTGTCTCATTGTTGAAAGTGGTTGTACCCATTCCCACAACATAAAAACTATATCCATGAAGATGTACGGGGTGGGAGCTGCCTCTCCCGTCGTCACTCTGTAAAACAATCTCCACCGTGGAGTTGTAGTCAAGTACCTTCACCACTGTCGCCTTTATCAATGTATGTAGTGCAGTATTAGGAAATGAGGTCTCATATACTCCGTTGATGCCATAATAATAAGCTTCTAATATATCGATAGAGGGATTGACAAAGCTAACGTTGTTAACACTAGACAGTCCTGCAGTATTCACTAAAAATAAGTAGTCCAATCTTGTGCTTATGTTCTTTGGAACGTCAATTGGATGGTCCTCGTCGACTAAGCTTCGAAAACTTTTGCTGAAGTTGAAAAATGATATAGTATCGTTGTAGGCTGGAAGAGTGGGGAACACCGGCGATGAAGATGCAGTGTAATTCCCACTGTATTTTATGATAGCTGTCGTGGTGGTAAAGTCGGTACTAGGAGTCGCTACTGGTCCGGTATAAACTCTAGCAGCCATGTAATAGTGATTAAGACTTTGGTTTGCTTCCAAAAGCACGTCAATGGTTTGGCCAGGAGCGATGGCGATGTAACTTGAAGAGAATGGCTTGAGATACCTAGCGTCAGATCCGACCACGGTTACATTGTGGTCGGCAATGGAGAAGAAAAGAACGTCTTGCATTGCAGCGTTGATTAACCGGAGAAGGTATGTCAAACCCTTTTGAACTGTAATTTTGTAGGTTCCTGTAGGTTTTTGAAAAAAAAAAGAAGAAAGAACTAAACTTTTAATTACAATTTTTGGCCAACATAATGAAAAGGAAAAAAAAAAAAATCTTATTGTTTTTAACCTGATTTAGAGCAGTTGTAAAGATCGCCCGGTTGGCCGTTAATGGTGAGTGCATCGGAGGTATTTGGGTCGCTTCCAGACTTGACAATATTGTATTCCTCCGCTATTGATTCTTTCCACCACTCTCCTGCATTTCAAGGAAATCTCAGACATTGCTAATTGTTAAAAAAGGGAAAAAAAAAATGAAATTTTGCAGCTAACTTATTAATCATTAAAACTACTGCTATTTTTTGGGTATTAATTAATTCATTGCAATGTCAACATGGTTGATAAAAAAAGTTGCAAAAATATACATACCCAATACGATGGGGAATTCAGCAGCTGGTTTGCGAAATGGGTATTTGTCTCCTTTCTTAGGATATATGACTATAGCACCATGAACAGTTGCTCTCGACCATTCGCTATGAGCATGCCACCAAAGAGTTCCTTCTTCCGTAGAGAAAATGACTTTCTGTCTAAACCATTTTCCTGGTTGAATGGGGCATTGTGTGATATATTCTGGACCATCAGACCATGGATATCTAGGTTGTGCAACCCCATGCCTGTGAAAATATATTACTGTTACAATCTCCTTTTCTTGCACTCCTTAGTAAAAAGAAATATTGTGATGACTTTGGATCGAAATAGTACAGTACCAGTGAATGGTGATGTTGTAGTCCCCTTTATTGTGAACATCTACAATAATTGTCTCTCCTCTGTGGACATGAAGTGTAGGCCCCGGAAATCGTCCATTCACCGTCAGTATATTCTTCGTGCTGCATAATCTCGTGTACGAAGTTTCTTCCACCTGCAAAAGCATTATACAATTATACAATAAATAGAATTAGGTACGTACGTTAACATCATGACTCATGACATTTTTTTTTTTTTTTGAACAGTTACAATTTGAGGGGAAGGGAAAGGGGATTTAACATTTAAGCACAGCATTGCTGAGATCGGAATATATACTTACGACGAACTTGTAATGTGCTAAAGCTTCGCAATGGGAGAGAGATACAAAGAGTAGGAAGCATAAGACTTGAAATGCAGAGACTTTCATGATGGACAGCATTTCTCAGACTAGTTAATTACTTGGATGAAGAATAAAAATGGAAATGAGCATGAGCTATATATAGAGGCTTGTGGATCTACGAGATTATCTCGTGAAGATTACGCTATAAAGTCAGCTTGCAACTTGATCATGTTCAAGAAAACAATAAGAAAATGAATTAATTATCTTAACTCAATTATTATATTAATTAAAAAGCTTGACTTTCCTTAATTTGCAAGAGCTGGTTTTCCCGTGTATCGTGTTGATTAGGTTTTGCGTGTCCAGTTAATGATTTTTAATCACCAAAATGAATACACCTTTCATTTAAGTTTAGTTATGACTTTTAAAGTCTTCAATTTTTTGGACATTAATTTTATTTAATAAAAATAATTAATTATTATTTATATTATATTAGATTTTAATCTAAAATTAATGTCTAAATTTTTTTTTAAAGTAAAGTTAAACACAGATACTATAATTTTATAACCCAGGGAATGGAAGAATTGCTCGAGCCTACTCATGTCAAGTTCTCTCATGTTAATTATAAAGAGAGCATTACAAGAATTATAAGAATTGTGGAATAAATTTTATAGTAGAGATCTAGAATTTAAAGTTCTGAATGAGGGATTAGAGAAAGGAAAGTGGCTAATAACTTAAATAATATAGTGATAATCTATTTTTAATAAAAATAGTAGATTTTAAATTCAAGTCACATAATATAATAAATTGAATAGTGCTTATCCGGCTTATCTCTAAAGATCAGGAAGAATATTATTTCAAAACTACGTCATTTTACTAAACACCTATTGAAAAAAACTAAAATATCTTATTTTTAAAACATGAATTAGAGTATTTTTTGTTTTTTTTCCTTTTAATTTTTTGAAGGTAAGACGGGCAAACACTAACCTCATATACAAATAAAATAAATTAAATGATATAAAATAATTTTTTTTATTGTGTAGTCTAAGATTTAAAATAAAAGAAAAAAAAAAGGAAAGGAAAGTGTATGCAAAATTCTACATTTCCAATAAATTTCAAGACCTTCCTTATACATGGTATCATAGAATATTTGGATTACCAATTCAAAGCAGCCTATAGCTAATCTCCGGTAACTAATAATTATTATTATTTGTAATCCTAGTATTCATATTTGTTTAATTAATTTAAAAGATAATGATTAATGTATTATTTAGTTCAATGCACTTATATAACACACTCATCAAAAAATTGTTCTTTTTAAATTTGAATTAAGGATGAAAAAATTTAAAGTCACAAATTTTAATGATTGAATTAATATATTAGCAAATATCTTCAAGTGAATGGAATACCAATTATTTTCTTAATTTAGCTTTTAAAAATTTATTTTCTTAATTTAAATCGCTAATTGCTTCTATCGAACCTCTTAAAGTTCACATTTGTTTCATTGCTTTATTTGTTAGTATTAAAGCCATAAGTAATGTTAAGCCATTAAGTCAGCTGTGGTTATGAACACTTATATATGGACAATGACTGATATAACACACTGGTTCAACATGTTGTACAACATATTTATTAAAAAATTATTTTTTTAATTTAAAATTAAAGAGAAACAAGTTTAAAAATACAATTATATATACAATATATAAAAATCGACTGAATTAATTATATTTATATTATATTTTTAATTATTGAACTAAAAATATGTAAAAATATTTGTTGAATTGAAAGTGTACAAACCATTTTCCCTTATATATCACTAAGATTGCACAATTTAATAGATACTCTAGTAATTTAACTATTAAAAATAATTGAAAATTGATAGAATAACTAATAATATCTATTACTTAACATATAAAAATTAGATTATAAATAGATATTTTTTTGACATCATAATTAATTGTTTAAAAAATATTATACATTAATAAAATTTTAATTAAGATTTTTTTTATTTTTTCTCTTGAAGCAAAAGTTAAAAGTGCATTTAATGTATCTTTTATTTATTAAGTTATAATGAAAAAAATAAAATTTGACTTTAATTTTAATAATTAAC